ATTAAATCTCAATAACATTTTTAATCTTTTATATATTTTTGAATTTGTAAACTATTATTATAAAAAATTTTAATTTTTTAATAAGTTTTACTTATTTTATTTATATATGATTTTATATTTATATACGAATAATACAAAAATATTTATCTAATAAAATTAAGAATATTATTGATGAAAGATTATCTATTAATGATAATATTTTTAAGAATTTTATTCTCTTTGTTTATTTGTATAATTTTTAATCAGTTATCCATGTTTTCCATAAAGTTTTTTCCTGTTAATATAAAAAATTAAATATTATATGAATTTGATTAATAATTTTCTCTTTATAATAAAATATAATTTAAATTAATTTAATTTCTTAAAAATATAATTTCAAAAATGCATAGGAAATGCATTATGTGATATAATATACAAATAATTTTAACAAAACTTACAGTCGAGATTTCATTGTTATATAAATTTTGATAATTCTTAAGAAGTTCTATAGTTTCTTCTTCTACTTTTTTTATTATGTTTTGTATTTTTTTCAGCTTCAAATAATCATCATTATGTTGAACTTGCATTTCTTCCAACTTTTCTTTATATGATTTCTTATTACTATAATTTAAAATTTTATTAAATTTTAATAAGACAAACAGATGTATTTTATAATTTTTATTAAGAATATTTCTTTAATATATTACTTTTAAAATACCTTAATAATTGAATGTTTAAATTACGTAAAGGAGAAAGACGTTCTACATAATGAGCATGAATTTCACTTATTTCATCTTCTTTATGCTGATCTTTTTGAATTTCTAATTTTTTTTCAAGTTTTTCAATATCTGTTTTGAGAGTATTAACTTGCTTCTTTGTATTATCTTCTTGTATTCTTATTTCTCTGAAAACAAAGAATATAATATTTAATAAAATAATATTTAAATTTTTCATGAAAATATATTATTAAAAAATTATATAAATACTTTAATCGATCATGTATATTTGGAACTTCAATAAATTTCTCTAATTGTTCTTGAATAAAAGTTAATATATTTTTCTGTTGTTCAATTAAATATTTTTTATCTTGAAATGCTTCTTGCATTGTTTCACGTTCTTTAACTTTAGCACTTTGCTGCTGTTCCAATTCATTTAAACGTATTTGATATTCTTCTGGTGATTGTACAATTTCTGATTGTAATTCTGTTATTGCTTTACTTAACTATAATACATATAATGATAATAATAATAATAATATATTATATAAATGATTTTAATTTATTCCTAAATGTTAATTTACCTTTAATGCTTGTGCTTTATAATTTCCACAAAGTTTTACTGCATGTTGTTTTTTCTCTTCTGCTGCTGTCATTCTTGCCATTAGTTCAATATATTTTTGATTATTTTTTTCAAGTTTGGATTGTAATTTTTGGATTTCTGCAATGTACTAAAAAAAAAGAATATAATATAATAATGTAAAAGGAATATAAAAGAAATATGATATAGTTTAAAATATAAATATATATTCAATGTTTTATTAATACTTTTTCTTTTGATGATAATTGTTTTGCTACATGCAATGCTCTATCTTTTCTAGTTTCTAATATTTCATTTTTTTTTTGTAACATATCATGTAAAATTTTTGCTCGGCTTTGAATTTCATTAACTTTATCTTCAATATCTGATTCTTTGTTAGTTGCATACAATATAAAATTTGCAAGGAATTTTGCTTGTTTGCGTACTTTTTTTGATCCTAAATAATATAATTATTTTTTATTATATTTAATAACTAATTTATTATTTTATAATATATGATATAATTTTAATTATAA